GGCCCCCTCTTCCCTCTTGCCTCTTCTTAGATATTCTTGCTCTTTCTTTTTGCTTTTTTGTTTTGGTTTGGTTCTGATTCAATGTCTTTCAGAATTGATGCTGACATGTAACATAATGCTACAAAATTTAGACTTCTGTCAAGCCTCCTGGCTGTTGAAGCTTCCTGCTACAGATGAAGAAACCACCTGCCCTAGCTATGCTATTTCCCATTTTGCAGTTTGGCAGCAGCAAGGAATTTAAGAATCAGGAAGAGTCGGGAAGGGGTACACCACCTGAGACACAGGGATAGTGTGCCATATAGAGCAGTGAGTTACACAAGAGTATCCCTGAGATGGCTCCCATTGCCCATGGGAATGTCTGGCCTGCCAGCAAGAAGGCCAAGGCAAACAGTGGGGTTTGCTTGGGATTGTCTTAGTCTCATACGCTCCTACAGGAGCCCTTAGATGTTAAATGAGGTATTATGTACCATATCTTTCTCCCTCTCTCTCTCTTTTTTTCTTTTTATTTTTAATTGGGTGCTATTTACATCACTGCAATTATGCTGTTTGTTCTGGCATCCTGTAGATAAGCACGTCTGTACTGGCCAAGAGATGCTAGGAATATTTGTGAGAAATCATCCAGAGCTGCTATTTAACCTAGTCCATGAGCAGATCATGACCTGACATTGTATATATTCAGTTTACTAACAATGCATAAGAGGAACAAAGGCAAGAAAGCTTGAGCTGTGCTTTCATTTTAAAACTAGGTTATCATGTAGCCCTCATTGTCAACAAAAAGACTTTTCCCAGTCTCAGTGGGGTTTGGATTACATCTGATACTGTGAGAGAAGGAGCTGGGCCTTTTCACCAGAAGCACAAGCCTGGTAGCCCTCTCCTCACATCTGGAGTCAGCCATGGGAGAAGTTTGTAACCCCAAGGGTTAAGGGAGCTTGTACAGCAGCAACCTTCCAGGCTGTGAGAGAAAACTCCAAGAGCTCCTGAATGCAGTATGCCTTAGGAAAGAAGTAAGGGCCTCACCAAAGCCTCAAGACCTGGCAAGGAAACCTTTTGAAGTCTTTTTTTTAATGCTTCTTTTGAAAAAGTGTGGCTGTTCTTAGCATCTTTTCAACCTGTTCTAGCATGAGAATCTGTTCCTACTGGTCCTAATTTCCATGGAGGGCCTGTGCAGAAGTGAAGCTAGCACTGTCAGTCCTCACTGTTTGGGAGTGCCCTTGTTTCACAACTTAGATTCTGATTCCAGATTTGCAGCTAATTTGGGGTAAAAAAACCTTTGGTAGGTGGAGCAACACGAGACATGTCCTCACTTCCTAGTGCTTTTGAAGACAGACACATGCCCAGCCAGGCTGTCTCACTGCTCACCGAGTGGTTCAATATGGTGGAGTGAAGAACTCTCCAGAGTCATTGGCAAAAAGCAAGACTAACAATATCAGGTTACTTCCCACGGGAAGGGCCTACAATGAAGAACACAGTGTTTATCTGACATGAATGGTTGTGAGATTACATCATCGGACATAGACTGCACCCACATGGTAACACCTGCTACACCCAAAGTGGGCCCTGTTTAGCATCTGCTTTTCTGATGTGGATGCATTGTTCTGGCTGAGCTAACTTGAAATGATTTAGGGAAGCATCCTGAGCATTGCTGAGCAGAGATAGCACCACATACGGATATAAAGGCATTGTTGAGACAAGCTCTACATGCGATGTTCTGCCAAATTGATCCCTTCCCTTCCTTTTCTCATTTCCTTGTTCTCCTTCAGTCACCAGAGAATGCTAATCCCTTTATTTGTTTATGTGTAAACTGGTGACTTTCCAGGCATGCTACAAAAGACTTTTGACTAGAAGACTTTTCTAGAAAGAAGCAGCAAAAGAAGCTGGAGATTTGTTTCCTGGACGATGACTTGGTAACAGATTCATCCCCTTGGACCTGAGGATTTTAATACTGCTATGTTTAGATTAACAGTATCAGAATATGTATGGGACAGCCCTGCATTAACAGTTGAAAACTAAAAGGAAAATACTACAGCTACTTTAACTGATCCCTTTTATTGAAAATTTGTTTTCAATATATGTTTTTGACCAATTTTAGAAAGAACACATTTGCAATGTCTTGCTCATACAAAGCAGCAAGCTTCTAACATTTTGTTCACAACACACAGAAAAAAGGCTGAAACGCAACTATATCTGAAGGGAGAAAAGCATTTTTCATAGCTAGTCATCACACTTTGTGAAGGAAAAAAAAGTGCTGGTACACAAAGGTGTGGGATTCATACAGGCCTTTATGATTTGAAGGCTTGTGGAAATCAGCCACCCACTTCACAGCTATGGAAAGAGGAATTGTTTTCTCACTGCTGAATCAATTGAGAGCTTCCTCAGTTTAGAGGAACTAATCTTGGACTTCAGATGGTCATCTATTATTCTTGCCACCTGCAATCTAATGTTTAAAGCATGTACCCCCGATGTGAAACAAGGTGCTGCATTTCAGACACCTATAAAGAATATGGTGCCTCAGCAGGGGAGTCAAATCAGCTAACTAATCAGTCAAATCAGCCTTCCTGTGTAATCTCATGTAGGTGTTCCTGCTCCAGCAGGGGGTTGGACTAGATGATCTTTCAAGGTCCCTTCCAATCCCTAACATTCTGTGATTCTGTAGCTACCAAACTGCTAATTGAGTATGGACACACCTACAGACAACACATTCATTGCTGGTTCCAAAAATTTCTCAGAATAAAATACGTAGGAATAAAATCTGGGCACTAGCTACTTGGGTCAGGACTTTCTTGCCTTGCAGGTGCACTGGCTGAAATCCTTTACTTCATCCTTTTTTCTTTCCAGCCAACAATTGCTCTTTCTGCCTATACAAGCCCTTGGTTAATTATGGGACAGTCTATCCTCACCGTAGCCCTCTCTGGAGGAACTTGGCAGGTTGAGCAGGGATCATTACCTTTCCTGATGTGGCTAGGCATTGCCGAGCAAGACACAAGAGTAACAGGGCCAGGGATGGTTCCGAAGGCTTACAGGGGAGACCTGGGTTCTTGTTTCTGCACCAAAAACTATTTCTCTGCTTTACCTAGTAATGCGTGTAGTGAGGTTGCTGTGGCTTGAAAGCAGTAGTAATATCATAGTGCTTTTAGGAGATGTGGTCACAGGCCTTGTCTTGCAAAACTCTTTTAAGAGTCCTTCCAGCCTCTCAAGCCAGCCACCGAAAGAGGAAAAGCAGCAGAGGTGCCCCTAGAATACCATTTCCATACATTCCCTCCCTGCAGACTGCGTAGAGCCTAGCTGTGTATCACACAAGCAAAGGGTTCTGGTGACAACTACTCTTGAGCTCAGCTGTGTTCACATGTGGGTCAAAGGTATTTTTTCAGTTACTCCCTGAAGTGGTAGTGGTGATAAGGGATTGGTGCTTGAGCACAGGGTCAGAACATCTCTATTTTGTTACAGCAAGGAGCAGAAGCATAGTTCTGACATTTGCAGAAAAAGAGGAAATGATCCTCTTGAAGGGCTGTTCTTAAAAGGGCATGAAACTTGAAAACCATAAACTAAGGTGACAAGCTGCTTCTCTTGTAAGGAGGTTACTTGCTGGCACAGAGACTCCTAGGTGTGTTGATAATGCAATTTTTGCATTTCCCAAAATGAAATGGGGGGGGGGGGGGAAACAACACTTTTTTTAAAAAAAAAAAAAAGTTAAAAAAAAATAAAAGTCTTGCCCCATTTTTTTTACCCTAGATTCCAAGTAAAAGGCCTTCACATAGAAGACATACAACAAATTGTTTCATCAAAGGAAACTGACTTTGGCATCAGTTTGGGAATTTTATTAAAACCATAAGTTTCCATTCTGTACAAAACAGAGGAGCTTTCTTTTTTTAAAAAAATGTATTAACCACATAGGAAATAATGCAGTGTAGGTGGTTTGTTGATAAACATCTCTGAAAGCTATGTACAGGATTAATACTACACAACTGTATTAATGCAGAGACTGTCAGCAACTTTAGCAATATATACAAACTACCTTTACACACATAAATATCTTATTTACAGCTAATAAATAACATCCAAAGCGAAATCATGTGTCCTCATGTACAAGAACCTTCACTATTTTGTGTCCAAGTTCTGCATGCGTTTGCATTTGATACTGTGTTAGCACACCTGTTTAGACACTTTATTTCCAAAGAACTTAACTCTTAAGAGAAAATTGCAACAAAATGTGAAGTCTATAGGGAATAAATCATTATATTTATTTTTAGAGGTCTCCAATGCAGTGGCTCAATACTCAACCCCACCCTCAGTGACTCATCACATCTCTGCTGTAGTTTAAGTGTTAGGAAATCAAATGTGAGCAATTTCAGAGTTATTAATATTCCAACATATTGCACTGTTTTAAGAGTTTTATCCCCAAATATACTAGCAGCCATGGCTAGAAAAAAAACAAACTGTGCACATAAATGCATACATGTTGGTTTTGCTTTCAAGATAGGATGATATGGGAGAAATAACGACCTCCACACTGTCTTGCTAATTAAGGAAGAGACTACAAAAACCAGTTCAATAGCTCACATTACACTTCTCCAAGTGTCTACCTTCAAGCTCTTCTGCCTCCCCAGTATCTTCTTTATCTTCTATAAAGCTACAAAAGGGCTATTGAACCTTTCAGAGCACTAGAAAAATTACATGTTACCTAAAAAAAGGGGAAGCAAAATGCTTTCAATGTATCTATTTTTGGCAACTTGCAGCATGTCTCATTCAAGTGTTTTTCAGAGCATTCATTCTTGTGCATCACACAATCAGGCTCCTTGTAACTGTCACAGCTCCTGCTCCCTGCTGAATTCCACCTCATGTCAGAAAACCAAGTAGCTCCTAGGATCTAGCATTGTATCACAGCCAAGCAACAAACTGAGGTGCATCACTAGCAGTCACAATTCCAGACCAGGGAAGCACAAGCATGCTTGTTACCCACCAAGTGGATTCACTTGCACTGACTACATACAGCAGCCACTCAGCTGCATGACTGACACTTGGTGCCAAAGAGCAGAGAAACTGTCACAGTTTTGGCATATGGGATGTAAGCAAATGGCAAGGAAAAAAAGAACAAAAATGTTTCCTGCAGTCTGTTAGCTCAATTCCTTTGCAGTTCCTTATCCACACAGTGTTGGAGGCTAGATGGTTTCATTTTCAAGGAATGAAAGCAGAGATTAAAAGTTGAATGTCTGCATAGGACACTGGTATTGCTGTCTTCCCCTACAACTGCTATTTATTCCAGGGTAAGCTGAATAGAAGCATATAGCTTAACAGACCATACCTATTGCTAAGCAGCTCTGGCATCTACCCCCAGTAAAACACATAACAAACTAAAAAATTCATCCCCATATTAAGTCAGTCTGTTACACCTTTTAGTAACATGCACAGCAAAGGTGTTTTTTCACATGAGAAATCTACCCATTTGCCAAACACACCTCAAGACAACAAACTCTAGCCACTGAACTGTCCAAAAAATTCAGTTAGCAAGCCAGAAAAAAATGTGTCCAGTTTTGAAGACTCCCAAAAAGAAAGAAAAGCCACGTACAGGGTTTTGCTTCTTTTCAATAAATACCAGAAAATTGCTATAGAGGATCTGATGTCAAGAAACCTTGTCACAAGGCACCATGATTAAGCAAAATCACTTATTCCTTCCCAGCACTCAAGCCTTTGGGCAAGTTGTTTTGTGGGTTTCATTTCATTTTTAACTATTTGGATAATGTATTTTTATGGTTAGTAACTTTGTATGCTGAGACTTCCTTACAGGAAGTCTCCTAAAATAGCTAGGAATAGCAGGCACAAAGCCAGCAGCGGATAAATATTTCTATATATTTGGTTCTGAACATCCAGTCCACAGATCCAGTCCTCCTCCTCCCCAGTGTGGAAAATCTTCATTCTTGTCACTTAAGCAGATTCATGAGCAGAATTTTCTTTAGAGGCTTTCTTGGCACTGTAGGGTAAAACAAACAAAAAAACCAACAGATAAGGTGAATTTTGCCTTCTTTTTGAGACTTAAGACTAAAAAAGTACTACTTAGGAAAATAAATTATGTACTTAAGCTTTTCCTGGCTGCTGCTTGATTTTACACATGCCAAATACACACACAGAGCTCTCAAGGCCTCCCTAGGTCATTGCCCTGGAGTGAAGGGTCAGCACACGTGCCTTTTTAGGTAGAACTAGATGTCAGTCTAGCAGTGTCCCCATGAGACCTTTCACACACAGCAACCACACTAAAATAAATATAACCACTCCTCCAGCTCAAACTTTAGTGGATAAAGTCCAAATAAATCTGGCCCCACATCTGAAAATTTACTCTGGGTCAGAAAAAATATTGATCAAAAAACTGAAGTGCACCAAGGTTTATTAAACACAGACTCAATCTCTGATCCAAATCAGAGACACAGATCTCAGGAAGTCACTCACCTGGTCCCTGGCAGCAGAAAGCAGTGTGCCTGCTAAGTTTCCATACCAGCCTTCAAATCTGCTGCTGGCCAGCAAAGGGGGAAGGCTCTGGACTGACTCAGTATAGACATTTGGACATTCTTCAGTTAAGGGTAAATGTAGGGCATCTTTAGATAGAGGCATGCTTTCCTCTTTGTGTCAGTGCCTTGTCTGTAAATCCTCTAACATTTATACTTGGTCACGGTGTGACTGTGAGAGGCAGTGACTTGTACTTGCTTTTCAGACATGCTAACAACCACACAAGGAGATGTTTAGAAGAGAACCAAATTACAGGCTTTTAAACTGCCATAAGCAAACCTCAGGTTAGTCTGAGTTGCAATGCTTCTGAAGTGTTGAGAAGACTAGTGCACAAGCCAACTAAATCAAGAAGTTTTATTAGATCCTCCTGCTATCAATCAAGTTTCCCCCAAACCAAAAACAATAGCAATCACTCATACCCTCCTCTCTTCCTGTTGACAGGCTGCTCCAAGCATTTCACAAATATTGCTGCCTCTTCTCCCTTACTGAGACGCGAGGTACCATCTCGAGAACAGAACACCACCCTGTGGAGTAATTATTAGACAATCACATGACTGAGACAAATGTCCCTTATTAACTATAGGAACAAGACCAGTGCTTGGAAGCAGTCTTTACACTTTGTCATGTGGGGCATTATACTTCACAAGCCTGGAAGAAAATAATTTAAGAGAATTCTGTGACAAAAGAAACACTCTGCAAGAAAAACTGGTAAATGCATTTCACATGGACCTCAAACTCTAGCCATAACTTTCACTAGTTATTTTCATAAAATCTTTTTATGGCTAAGACAGCAGAATCTCTATCTCAAATTCTCTCAAATCTTTATTTACACCAGTCCTTGTGTGACTTTGTCAGGTGAATAGTCTTGGAAGAAAGCCTTACTCCCTCTCAAACATTTGCAAACAAAGTAGGTTGCCAGTCCCAGCAAACCTGAACAGTTGTTTTTCTGTTTATCAGTACTTTCCCCACCCCTGTATTTGTTCAGCTCTGATAAGTGTTCTTTGATGAAGTGACTGCCTTGTTAATCAAAGGAGGAATACATTATTATTCACAATACTGTACATATGACATGCATACTCTGTTCTGGGTCCATTTTCTGCTAACAGATCTCATGTCTAGTGAATAGGAGCATTTCAAAAGGTTCAGGTCAAAGCATTTCTGTTCAGACTTTGCTGTTTTAACATTCATGCATTAATAACATCCTGCAACAGTCCTATACTTCAGTTTTCACCCACCATTCAGTTATTCCCAACTCTTAAGAAAACCCAACTTAACAAATCAATGATTTCTTGTGCAAATACACTTTTGGAATGGTTTCTGAAAGCCTCCCTCTAAGAATGGTCTTTGCAAGACAATCTGTACAAGTGTCCAGCAAGAGAAAAGAGGAAAACTACAAATACAATCAGAGATGCTGGTTCATGGAGATACTCTCCTGCATATTACTACTAACCTGAGGCAAAAGAGACAGTGGTAGGCAAATGAATTATCTGGCAGTATAACTACAGATTGCAGATCCCAGTAGAAGCAAACAACTGAACCTGGCTGACACAAATGCCAGATTGTTGCTAGAGCCCTGATTATCAGTGCTGCACCCCTTTGTAACTGCTTTCCATGTTTTGTCCCACTCTGCAAGATACCAGGAATCAGGAAACACTGACAATTAAAACTAATATAGCTTAGAACAATCAAAACAAGTTACTTTTTCTGAGTTTCTCCTGACTTCACTCTGACTTTCTGGATGTCAAATGTAAAAGGAGTCCACCAGTCTGACCAACTGAAGAAGGTGTCTTTCTCCCACTGCAGCTTCAGCATAAGCAAGTCACCAATGTCCACTTCTGTGTAAATCAGGAAGGAGAAGGTCTTGTTTGAGGAAACTTCAGGCCTGTGGGGAGAGGAACAAGGAAAAAGAAACAAAATAAGTGGGAACTGATGGACAGAGAAAAATTAAGGGAAAACAGCACTAGGATTTTTATTTACTTTAAAAGAAGAAGGAAGCAGCCTTCTCCATAGTTCTGATGGACGGAATAAAAAACCCAACACTAAGCTTTTGTAGATGCACAAGGAAAAGCTTTCTGCAGCAAGGCTGGAAAAACCCTGGGACAGACTGCCAGGCAAGTGATGTCTTCTCTAGTGCTGGTGTCTCTCAGAAAAGCCAGGCAAGCATCAGCCAGGAACAGTCTGGGTTCCTCGGAGTAGAAAACAGACTTTGGTGCTTTCCAGCCCCATTCCCTACCAGCCCAGATACAGGCATATAAGTACAGATTTTTGCTAATTTGCAGAGGTGTGGAAGCAAATGACATGTCTCCCCCAGCTTCTGCAATGAGGCCTTTAGACCCATCAGTCAATTAACTCCAGGTTGCAGTCTGCTTTTAAGGAGCTTTAACACCACTGGAACATGGCATAAAGATACTGAAAATAAAAGAAAGTAAGAAATCCGCCACACCAGAAAAATTCTTATTAGGCTGAGCCACAGGTCAGACTCCACATCTCCATATTTCAGAGCTCTTATCAAGAAGAGCTCCTATAGAGCTTAGATCATTAGCTTCAGAGTGGATGCACCCCCTTGATCAAGGGGAACAGCAGATTATGGGACCCTGTAAGATTTCTGTAGCTGTAGCTAGAACAAGTTTTTCAACTGGGGCTTTAACAGATTTTGGTAGACTCAACAGTACATTGAGGTTGTTTCTGTAGCTACTCACAGCGTGAAAGCAATGTTCTCACTCTCATCTAGAGTGCCATAGAGAGAGATCAGGAATGGCTGGTTTGTCTTGGTTGTATTAGTCTTTCCAAAGAAATGGATCTTGACCTGGTAATGAAATACTGAAAGAACACAAAAGAAAAGGCCATTGGAAAAAATTCAACCTCCAAACAGACTGCTGGTGACAAAAAAAATCACTCAAAACCCCCACACAAATCCTAGGCTAGAATATGCTAACATCACTAAATTGAGGAGTTTAGTTCCCTGCAGGTATTCAGAGAACTATTTTTGTAAGGAAGTAAAGATTAGGATGCAATCACAATTAAAAAAAAAACAAACAACTTCTGCAGTTCTTGCAACTAAACTCTGCATTTAAATTCACTGCCACTATAATAACCCCAGAGTCTGCAGTATCACCTGAAACCTGTCCTAAATGCGTAAGACTTGCCATCCTTGACTTGAAATAAGTGAGCTGTGCCACCCTCATACAGGAGCCTTGGTGAAAAAAATTCAACCCATTGACACTGCAGATTAAGCACCAAATGCCAACAAAACACTAGTCTTGCAGCTGTTCTAACACTGCAAGAATGTGCCCTCGGATTGCTGGTCCATCACACAATGAGCATACCATGTGGCACAGTGAAAGCTAGGGAGGAAAGAAAAATACAAGTAGTAAAATCCAAAGCAGAAGCGATTTTCCTAGCTGAAAGCTTTCCAGTTCTTTCTGGCAATGTCCTTCTCAGACCTATCACTGTGCCACTGGGAATCAAGAAGTGCTATGTTATTTTCATGAGAGCTGGTGCTCCTCTGGCAAAGCACTACACAAGGCATGAGTCTGATGGTTGCGCAACTTTGAAGCTGCTTATCAGAATGATGATTATTTTCCCAGCAGTAGGAAAAATTCATTTGGATGAAAAATACTGAAAAAATTTGGAAGACTTAGTTGTTCCATGTGACTGGGCCACAGAGTAAGTCTACTTAATTTTGTTATTTAGAAACCTGCTACAAAATACCTGTCTTTTTGTATTCTACTGGCCACCACCACATCTTGAGTAAAATGACACTGATTTTCTGAGGCTGCACTTTAGCTTGTGCTTAACAGCAAACCGCAGGCAAGCTTCACCCCTGCTCACCACAGGCACCAAAGCAGCAATATTGTCATCTGCAGCACGCACAGCTGTGCAAAAGTACCGATCTTGCTCACCAGTAAGCAAGCAGGACCTACCTTTATAGGGCATCTGAGCTCGAGTCTTTAAGTACATTTTGGTGTTTCTCTTTGTTCTCACTCTGTTGACCTTGTAACCCAAGTTGTTGCAGCGATTCTTCCGGCAGCTCAGGCAAAGACCCTTCTCAAAGGCCTCTTTTGTGTTGCAGCGGTAGGCCATGCTGGGCTTTTCTTCATAGAGGAGGGAGTCAATAAAGAGGTGGATGGATCGTTCATGAGAGCATTTCACCAGCTGATCCACATCTTGAAAGAAATAAAATGTGTAATATGTATACACATGTGCATATAATTATATAAATCCCTAAGCAATGCTGTCAACATGCACAATCCACTGTGCCAGAACTGGGCTTTATAGGGTTGCTCTTAAAAGCACTTAAGAGAACAAGTTCCTGCACCTCTCAAAATAGATCTTTGCTTGTAGGAAACCTGCAGGCTACTGAAAATCTCTTTGGATGTTACACTGTTTGTTTCAGAGCAGACTCACCTGCAAAGCCTTTTTCAGCAATCAGACGGAGTGCTTCTCCCAAATTGCAACCTGGCTGGAAACCTCCACCATTAGGATAAATATCAATGTGTCCAACAGGCTTCTGGATCCCAATGCTGCGGTCTGGAGAGCCTCGAGTGTAGGTGTGTAGGACATCCACAAAGTCAGCATCATCCGGGGAGAGGCGGGTGAGGGCATCAGCATACTCAAAGGTAGGACCAGCTGGATCCAGGCCTTTATGATGCAAACCACAATGAAAAACAGATCATTGTCTGCTCAAAACAGTGACAGAGATAACAAACGCCAAACTCAGCTACCACATTGGGCTGGTGTATTGCATATAGTGTTGATGTCACCACAGACATTACAGTGGGATAATTTAAGTAGCATTCATGTATACAGGAGAATCTGTATACACTACCTTGAAATGCTGTCACTGTTTGAAGAGATAAGGTGTATGTAAACATACGTAAAGAAGCCCAGATAACTTCTTCACAGCTGTAGCATTTCCAGTAGTTGGAAGAAACAAACTAGTAAATATTTTCTCCATGTTTTTCTCTTTTGTTAAGAAACAGAGGAATTGTAAAATTTCTATCTGAAGTGTAGAAAATGCCTTGCTGCTAACTCCCTGCTAGGGGAACACGTGGGAAAAACAACAGCTTCACTGTCTACATGCCTAAGGGGAAGAGGATCATTACAGTAAACTGTCAAGCTGCAGCAACACTGACATCAAAAACTCCCAGAACTACTCCACTAGTGAACAAGTACTATCTCTTGAATCCAGACAGCTACTCGAGAGATTGCTGAAGGCAGAGCTAGAGGGACATCTTTTCTGCAGCCCTCAGCTGGGGACAGGCACCTGGGTTGCTCACTTCTGGTTAGCCTCACCTGATCGGAGCTGCCTTCCCTCTGCTGTGAGGACTTGAGGGACCACATCCCATCACTCCCTGTGTTTAAAGGTGATTCTGCGTTCCCCGAGAAAGGTTCTTTCTGGGCACCAAGGGCAACCAATCAGGGCATAACAGAGGGCTACCTGTATTTGAGTGATTTGTCAGCCTCAATTGAAAGCAACAAAGCTGCAGCTGAGAGAAAGGAAGGGTAGAGGGAACATGTGCTTTGGCCTCCTTACTTTAATCTGCCACCACTCAGAAGTCAGCCTTTCCTGATGCAACTGCTGCATAGCCCACCCCCCCACTATGCCTGTGGATTTGGGATCACAGCCAGCCTCAGGTGAAAGGGCAAAGGGAAAGGAGGTATGTTCCTGTTTGAATGCTGCTCCCGATCTCTCTCAGCAGATGAGTGATTTTCTTAGCCTCATTTGCTGATGTTGGCATTTCCTTTGTCACCAAGAATAGTGCTAGGGGCTCAGTTCTCCAAGTGGTAGGCTGTAAACCAGATCCCAAGCAGCTATGCACTCTGCTTTGTCTAGGACACTTCTCAGCCTCCAAAAATCACCCTAAGCAGACATCTAAGCCTGTATAGAAACAGGGCAAATATATGTATACTTCCCTCTCCTTTCCAAAATGCTCCCAGTATTATTTTCAGTCTAGACTATTACTTAAGCCCATATGGATTATTTTTTTCTTTAGTAACTGTGTTGGGTTTGGGGAGCACATTTAGTAGTAGTGGGGGAAGGGGATACATGGACGGCCCTTGTGAGAAGCTTCACAAAGCTCCCCTGGCTCCAAGGCAGTCCCACCTCCAGACCAGGCTGAGCTAATCAGCAACAGAAAACTCCTCTTGGAATCAATATTTATGAGAGAAGAACTGGTTTGAAAAAGAAAGAATCTGGAGGAAAGGCCATTGACCTGAACAAAAGACAACCATCCGCCTAAATAAGAAGCAGCACCGTTGCCATGAGGAAGGAGTAGAGGGAGGACAGAGGACAGACATCAGACACTGGGATCACAGAATGGGGGGCTGTGATGAAGTTCTCATGCTGCAAGAGATACTGTGACCTCTCTGAGGCATGGATTCAGCCATACTCAATCACATCCCCCTCAACTTTTCATGGCCAATGAATTCCTGACTACTCACTTATTCCTTGTGCAGAGCAAGATCAAGGCTTCTCACCCACTAACTTTGTTGTTCTTTTCTGAACCTTATCCAGTTCTACTACAGAAATATCAGAATGAACACATAACCTAAATACTGACACCAAGCAACAATTATTCTGGTGATTTTCCAGAGGAACATATTTCAGCATGGAAGAGACAGAACTCTCCATTCTATGACCACAGGTTTTCTTACCAGTAATTCTGTTCACCTTCTTCTTGGTCAGGCTCCCAGCAATCCCAGCTGCATGAGCACCTAGACTGTACCCCAGCAAATGGACATTGTTGAGAGGATAATTGAACTGCTCCTGCATAAGAGAACACTTGTTTAAAGTTTGAAGTCAAATGGGAAAACACAAGAACACAAAGAAAAATGTTTTGTAAACACTGGGATTTCTCTTTGAGCCATGAATAATTGAAGAAACACAAAATGCAATTAATATAATTTTTGTGCCACACTAGGTCACTTGAGTTAACCAGTTTAAAGCAAAATTCTAAGTAGAGAATAATGAAGGGCAGAACACAGGCCTGTGTATTATATCAAAAGTTTTCAGCCACCACCTCCCCACCAGTTTCAAGATCTCCTCAGTATTTCCCAAAGGCAAGGCAGACTTCTGTTTCCCAAGGGCTGGCTGCTGTATAACATATAGCAACCTGTCTTTCATAGCTACCTCTCACAGAGCCTTCAGAAATACTGTGGACTCACAGGGCTCCACAGACCACAAAGTAAAATTTCTGGAATGTACTATAAAAAGCCTCCTTGTGCCAGAGATAACCATTAAATTAAAGCTGGGATTTTACCAGTCCAGCAAAAGTACTGTCTGCAGCAGTTTAACTCTATCTACCCAATAGGAGACGATTAACATAGCTGCATCATTGCTGTTTTGCCTCCTAGGACATTATGTACCATGCGAAACATGCGACTACATGTCTTACCTCCATCCAGTCAATAAATGTAGCAACATCCTTTCCCACCAGCTTAGTGTATGCAGCAGATACTGGGTAGTGCTGCTGAGCTCGAGTTAGCCAATCCACCACAATGACATTTGAATCAGGTTCCCTCTTGTACAGAGCATCCACCAGCTTCGGGACCCAACTTTCATACATTCCTGTCACCTGTTGGAGGTTTATTTAATGAAAAAAAGGAAATAACTTAATATTATCTGTAGTGTATAGACACCTCAGCTAACATAACTAGCATGGTTCATCAGGAGTGCAGTTAAGAGGGAGATACCTCCCCTTTCTTCTTACCGTCCACCCATGGATCACCACAAAGGTTTTACTGGTATGGTTGAAGCTGCACCGTGCCAGGCTGTCCACCTGCCCAGGAACCAGGTAGCAGACATCTTCATCAGGCTCTGCAGGTGTCCTTAAGGAAAACTTGCTCTCAATTCCCTTGAAATTGTTCTCAGTTTCTGCTGTGCAAGAGGACAGGAAACAACACAGCAGTGTTTTAGGAGTATTAAGACAAACAGTTCGGAATTCACAGGTACAGTGTTGGAGAGAGATCAGGAACAGTCAAAAAATGGGACATATATTTTTAATTTCCTACAGCGTTCCTTTTGCACCACAATGGCCATGTAAAGATGAAATCAAATGGTGAAAATTGTTCCTCCTGGAAGGTGAAACAGAGGGTAGAAACTGCTCTCCCTGCTGCTAAAAAAGCAGTCAGAAAAGTATGAATCCCTTTTAGGAGTCAGTATTTTACCCATTCCATTATTAACAGGAAGCTTAAGAATTGCCACAGCAGCATAGAAAACTGCACGGGACAGTCAGACAGTACATGCAGGAAAATCAGCAAGTTCCTACTATACTATTACATATTTTGGTGGTATATCTTCCACATCACTTTATCAATAATCACCGCTTCACAAAGCTCTTTATAGCACCCAGTAGTTGCAGTGCATTAAAAATACAAGCTGCAAAGTCACCACTGCTTTACAAAATGCTAGTTTAAACTTTTTACCACAAGAGAAAAACAGCAGGTGAGAGGATCAAACACCAATTAAGAAAACTGAACTAGCAAAGCAGAAGCCAGAGTTTTGAAGGCAGTATTTTTCAGATCATCTGATAAGCAACATTGCAGAAAAATACTGCAGAAAAAATTCTTTGTCTGCCTGAAGCTATTTTGAATCTGAGGGGCTTGGGGGGGGGGGGGG